TCAAGCTCCTAGGACATTTGTTACCATGGTGATCTAACTAAGGAAAAAGAAAGCCACCTTTTCACCTGACTTGACAGACCTCACTAACCCATTAATATCCTTTGTAGTGCGCCCTTCAAAGTGCAGTCAATGACAATGTTACTGAGTATAGAGGGGAGCTCACTCCGTCAGGCAGGGCCCTCCAGCAGACAGCGCTGACAAACTCGTTGGTGTCGTCCTCCTTCTTGTCCTTGTCCAGAACGCTCTTCACTGTGTCAAACTTGAATGTTAACAGTGTCTTGGAAAGTCCTTTGTAGTACAGATACAGGGAGTTGTTCTCACTGCCTGCATACACACAAACACGAGTATTTATGGAATTTAAGCATGTTATCGTTTCTCCCACTGAGGGAGCGATACGACAGACAGTTTGACAATAATGTCTTCTTTGAAGTGACTGCTCACCACAGGCAACGTAGTCTCCGTTTGAGGCCAGGCCCACAAAGTTCTTCTCGTTGATGTGACCCTTGAAGGAGCGCAGGCAGTGAGGTTTGTTGACGTTCCACAGCTTCAGCTGACTGTCCGTCGAACTGAAGACAATAGTGCAGAAAGAAATGATCAATGTGGAACCGGTGGGCCTTAGATGATATGACGTGATAACCCACTGGGGCCAAGTCCAGCATTTTCATTTTATCAGGATTCAAGATTACTCTGTGTAGAAAGATTCTCCGTTGAGGGCTCCACGGTGTAAATTAGCCTTTATACGTTTAGTGTTTCATGCTCTCTTTAACCCAGTTTAAGTTAAACAGCTTCTTTATGATATTATAAGCAGAAAGTACACAGTAACAGGTTTCACAGAATATTTTCTTTTGCAGGAAAAAGAAACCTTTCAGATATTAGATGAACTTACGCAGAAACAATTTCCTCTCCGTTGACGAACTTGGCATAGGAGACGGCCTTCCTGTGGCCTTTGAACACCATGATTGGCTGCTTAGTGTTGCGGAGATCATAGTAGTGAACACAGTGGTCTAAGAGAAGAAAGCAAAGTTTAGCACGTGTTCAGATGGGAAACATGAGGAAAATCATAGATTAAAACAAGTCTTAGATCAGCTCCATTTAGGAGCCACCACAGCATTTAGAAAAGTGCAGTTACATTTGGACTTAGTGCTGTTTAAATGCAGACTGGCTTTCCATGTCTGCCTGCTTACTTTGATAACCCAGTGCTACTCCAGACACTAAACCATCTACACGGCCGAGGAGCAGTTTCCTTCTCTTTGTCGTTGAGACACAGGAAGTTGGATAAAGCCACAGCAAGATACTTCTGGATAACGCTTGTACGCTCTGCTCATCCAGCGTTACAGTGTTTCTGCGTATAACCAAATATTTCTTACAACTTTATATCTCCTTTGGGGGACTAATGAATAAGGTATTCAGCAGTTTTTCTGGACCACAAGAGTCAGCGCCGGGTGAAGAAATGTAGCTGACAACAAAGAAACCACAGTGATGTGAGAGAAATCAACAACAACAATACTCCAGGTTTGTCTGGAGACAGCTGGGTGGAGTAAAATCTGTTCCCCCTTATTTAGTCTGGACTTAACTTCTCATAGTAAATACCAACCAAATGCAGGCGGACGTCAGACACTGCACCTTCACATTTAGCTTCAATGACACTTCAAGTGTCCTTAGATGCAAGGTTTACACAGTTACAAGGTTTTGGCACAACCTATGCGTTGTAATCAAAAGCTTCTGAGCTGCTTTCGCCCAATGAAAGTCCAGTTCTATGTTTGCACTTGATTTCAGCAGAGCTTTTTGACATCACCCTGGCTTAAGGTTTAACACAATTTTATCTCAAAATCTTTGTTTTTCCACAACCGAGACTAAAGTAACAACAAACCAGATAAATCACACATGAAAATCTTTCATTTCCATCTCACCTGCACAACCGAAGGCCAGATGATATCTGGAGGTTGGGCTGAATTTAACACAGCAGACGTTAGCCTTAGCCTCAATGCTAGCCACTGAATTGTCAAGATTAGTTGACCACAACTTGACTGAAGAAGAAGAAGAAAAGAGCATGCATGAAACAAATACGGGCTGATACATGGTGGGAACATTATTCTTAGATATTGCATCCCTCTCTTACCTTTAGCATCATCAGAACCTGAGGCTAAAAGCTTTGGGTCCATGAGATTGAAGTCTACACTCCAACATCTTTTTTCATGTTCCTGGAAAGGAAGCAGAGGAAACCTTAAAAAGCCATCATTACTAATGTAACGCCCAACGTAATGAAGCTGCGCTCCAAGCATCACACCTGGTAGACTTTGGACCTCTGGCCTGTGAATCCATCCCACAAAATAACAGTTCCCTCATAGTCACTGCTGGCCAGGAGGTTTTTGTGATAACTGCTCCAGCTGATACAGCTGCAACAGACAACAGGAGCTTGAGCTGCTTATTTCACTACAAACTAAGTTATCATTTCTTTTCATGAACTGTATGATTCGTTTTTTACAGTCACAATTTTGGAAAAAAGCATCATGGACATTTTGCATCCATACATGTGACTCAATATGTGTTCACATGGATTATTAAGAGATCGGCATTAGAGGAAATGCATTCATCAGTTTCCTGCACCTGATTTTGGAATTGCAAGTCATTTCGTTGACAGGGTAGTGGATGTCCACTGCATCCTGGATCACAGTGCCGTACTCAAACACCTTGATCTTTTTGGTTACGCCAGCGATGGCGAAGTAGTCACAGTCTCGGTCAAACTCAATACTGAAACAAAGGAAAATACGGTCAAAGACAGTGATTGGGCTCCTCACACACGGTAAAATGTCAGGAAACAACTAAAAGATGACGTCCAGTCATACGTCAATCGAGCTTTTCTTTTTTATACCTAGACACGATACTGGAGCCATTATAGAGGTCACTGGCGTATGACAGGGTGGCCAGCGGCCGCACAGAGTTATAGCGAGTGAACTTTGACAAACACTCCATGAAATCATCCAGCTGATTCAGGTTCCTGCCCTCATCTGAAAACACAACACGCACACAGTTAACACAGCATTTGTGAATTATACACATTGTGGAAAAAAACCAAATGGAGTCGTTGCCCATAACTAAGAGCTTAAGCACCGACGTGTGCAGTAAGGTGAGACACACGATGCCCTGCTTTAAGAAATAATACCAGTTTTTCCAACTGTGTGCAAATGAAAACTCCATAAAAATGATGTGACCACAGCAGTTTAAACCCTCAACAACAGCACCTGTGATGCGGGACATTTTGCTGGAGAAGTAGCACTGCTCTAGATCCTCAAAATGAGCTGTGAGCCTCTTTCTTCTTGACGCCAGGGTGCTGTTGTACCAGGTCTGACGTTTTCCCTGAGGAAACAGTCCCAAGAGCAAAGTGAAGGCAGTGCCAGAAACCTCAGAGTGTATTTATAATTTTCCTCCAAATACATTTGTGTTAAAAAGCT